CGGTCACGACAGGTGCTCGAATCCCGGTGAACCTTTTAGGCCTTGAGCCTCCCGAGGTGGGCAGAAGAAAAGCTGTCCGCCAGGGTTCTCGCGCTTTGACAGTACATACATGTACAATCTGGAATTGTCCACAGTCCTGGCTCTGCAACCTTCTCACAGTCCTTGGCTTTGTAGCTGCTTAGGGCAGGCTGTATGCAGCCCAGGGTGCTTAGGGGCTCAATTTGCTCACGCATCCTTCACATGTGGAGGCCCCCCTGGAATAATTACGTGCCACTGGCTGGGTCCACTTGCCATTGCCACTGGAATTGTCCGCAGCCCAGACTGCTTAGGGGCTCAATTTGCCCATCGGTCCTTCAGATGTGGAGGCCCCCCTGGAATAAATATGTGCGACTGGCTGGGTCCTGCACCACTTGCCATTGCCATTGCAATTGTCCACAGTCCTGGCTTTGTTACATTCTCACCGATCCCCAGGCCCTAAGCTCTCACTAGGTACTTGGACATTCAACGCAAAATTAATTCACTACGTGGTTTTGCATCCAGATGCTTAAGAAACATTAGAAATTATTCCTGAATGTGAATGACATACCAGACTAATTTCCAGCATCGATGTGACTAGGGGTCAGAATAATGTTTGAATTATTCCAGGGGGGCCTTGAGAGGGGGTCCCCTTAAGCCACGGCCCATGTTTTGGGATATACCCAATGTAGAACTATAGACCCTTGTCAAGAACCAAGAGCCGACAGCTCAGGTTTGGCAGTTTTCATTTGCTTTCTTCGGTCGCTCCTTCATTTTGCATCAGTCACTAATATGGTCCAACCCGTCATTCAAAAAGGTCCCTGCACGGACTTACATAAATATATGTGAAGAATGTCAAAGAGGCTCCAACATGGTATTCTTTGGAAGACGATGCCCCGTCCCCCCAACGCTGCGGGTTGGAGTGTCGTGAAGACAATATATCAGGACGACTCCGACGAGCTCACGGGCGAAGGGATCGTGTCCGGGCCCTTTTGGGGACATGGAGAAAGGGCCCCCTTGGGCACCAAAAAGGCATGTATAGACAACCACTATTTATAAACCAACACCTGGGCTAGCATCCAGTTTGTATGTTCCAATATACGAGATATACCTAGAGAACCAAGAACCCCTTAAAACGTCATGGGAACCTACGGGTTGTCGACGGGTTTTCTACGGTTTTTACACGGGTTCGAAACTTAGTGCTTTTGGATGCTTTTGGAAAACACATGTTTTCGACAGAAACACAATGTTTTTGGTCAAGTGGAACCAAAACATTATGTTTTCCATCAAACACGACAAATTCGTAGGTTTCGAGTTCCATAGGTATAGGTGATATATATATATAGTAAACATAAAAGAACTCCTGAAACAAAACGACTCCTGAACCACCCCGTAGACCATCCAATAGAGCCGTTTACAATAAGTTTACATATGTTTACATGTTTTTTTGTAATCTTTGCTTGATGATGGTGCAGGAGATGGAAAACAATCACGAGTAGAACAGACAAGAGTGATGACCGAGACATTTGCTAGAGTCTGCTAGAGCAAGGTGAGAAGGTCATGGGCACCGCCCAATTATATACATGTTCGTCGAATACACAGTCCATGTTCCATGCAACAAGCCAGGGCTGCGGATGGTTGGTGCTAGATGTGGGAAGAATCCAACACATGAAGTAAACAGGTAACACGGTAGCTCCATGGAAGTAGATCGGTACCAAGGAATGGAGTGGCAGACTAGACTTGCGCAGTTTGGCCATGATCGCTAAGTGGCTGCGAGTGCAATGTTTGTTCTGGAAGGGTTCCGTTCGTTTTTCTCCTTGGCGGTATGGAACGGTGGAGGCTCATGCTGCAGGATCATTAGCCAAAGGAGAAGAACGCTGCACCCAAGACGTTCTCTATGTTTTCATATTTGTTCTCATTGCAAACGCAGCCACCCCCGAGACGCATTGCGAACTGCTGAAACCGGTTTGGAACTGTTTGGAACCATTGAATCGAACCGTTTGGGATGCGCTTCGTCCTCCGAGGTTCCGCTCTGGGAGAACGAGGAACGGTGCCGTAAGTGGACGGTGCACCGGTCGCCGGAGACGCGTCGACCCCGAATGAGCCTCCCTGAAGAATAGAGCGCTTCGTTTGCACAACGGATGTCCTGCAGCCAGTACTGCGTTGGAATCCGTGACCATATGAACTGAGGCCTGATGTAAAAAAAAATTAGTCAAGAAAGAACGTCTGATGACATATGCAGCCTGTTGCAAGTCTTGAGGTGCTTGAGTAGTATCCCAATGCTTGATCGAAACGGCCAAGGCTCTGTCTATAATCCTTCTACGATCAGGCGACAATTGCATGAAGTCCCGTTCTAAATGAACAAAAGCCGTCTCCCTAGTCGTTCTGCAAACATCTCCATGCTAATGTCCATCCGCACAAACCTGGCACATATTGTTCTTCTTGTGTCACAATCTGGAGCCTATGTGCCGGAATATGCAATAGGTGACAGGCAAAGAAAGTCATGCGTTCTTCCAGACTTGGCGGAGTTTCAACCAACACAATCCTGTTTGGGCTTACGTCACGGCAGATTTCCATTGCCAGCCAGTGACATTCAAACAAAATCGGCACTATCGTCGTGCCCGTATTGGGGACATGATACGGACCATGCTCAAACACAAATTCATCCTGTGCCGAATTGTAGGTTGCCGCTGAGGTAAAGTGGAGTCTCTGAGTGCCGGAAGACAATCGTGTCAACAAAAACGACATCTCATTTGTTGCCATCCACCCCTCCGTATCCCTAACAAAATCAAGTCTTTCTCCGATCGTCGCTCGAGGTTTGAGCATTGCTTTCCGCGTAGTTCTCCAAGAGATTACCCCTCCGCACCTAACCCATGCACACTGAGAATCTTCCAAGGACCTGGGTAGAACCGGCACTGGACGATGTTCTTGCCGGAACATGGGCTGAAGGGACGACCGGAGTGGAGACCTGACCTCCATCAGAAAGACTGCTCTTGGGACAAGTACAATCACCTTGCTCACTCAACCGATAGACTTGTGCATACCAGACACGGGCAAATGGACCAGACAGAAACTGAGGATCTACATCACAGGATAGCCAAATGCTTTGGGCTGGACCATGCTCACCCGCATTACTCTGCCTAGCGAAGGTAGCAAGAACTGGATGACCCTTGTTTTTGAGCATCACATGAAACAGGACGCTGTCCACCCCTTGTGTACCATTGTTTCAGTTGCAAAAGGAGATGTGGCATGGACGGACTAGGACACCTGATCATGACATTCCATGATTTCTCACCAGGGGGCTGACAGATACCTCGGAAACAACGTCTTGGTTCCGATTTCTTCGCATTGACAAAACTGAGTTCGATCACAACTCTTGCAGCATTCTGAATTAGTGAAACACATCGAACCCATGACTGCAGTGGTGATTTCTCACAGCCTAAGCTCCTACCACTCAGCACAAAGACTCGACAAAACTCATGACTGGAAACCTTCGCATCACCCTGACACAACATCAGGCAGCCATCATTCATATCGGACTTTGGATCTTGCAGGACTTCGAATTTGTCTTCCAAGGGTTCCATCAATGGAGACATCAGTCCCACGCCATGGCTGCGCGCAACAGGTTGATTGCAGAGAGTGCAATCCCCATCCGATCGCCCCAAACAGCTGCGGAAGAGAGTCGGGTTGTTACAGCCCTCGCTCTCATAAGACCGTGCCACTCCGGTCATGAACAATGCCCACGGAGCCTCTTCCGCATGTAAGGGCATGTAGGTTTGGCCGCTCACATCACACCTATCCTCCACACAAACATGAGGTCTTCTGCGGCGTCTTGTGTGCTCATGTATATCTCTTGATTTCATGTGTTCCTCTGACCAACCTAACGAACTGCACGAATCTTGCAAACTAGGGTCATGGCCGTTTAATGATGGCTGGAAAGTCCTGTTTGCATCTCCTTTTCGAAAGCTTTTCATGCCATGACAACGATGCTTTCCACAAGTCAGCGACCTGAGATGCCCATGAGCACCTTGTGAAAGTGTTCGACCACGCGTCACACAGGTCCTGCCACCCAAGATTACAGCAACCCAGAGAAGCAGGGTTATCACACTAGCTGGCGAAATCGATGTCTCACTTGCGACAGCTGGCTTACCATCATGAAGGTGTAAAGTGTGCAGATCATCAGGCGTATGTCGTGTCTGAACAACTGGCCACACCATCATGAAAATCATCCATGGAGAGCACCCAGGACCTGGACGAAGTATCCCAACAGAGCACCCACCCTTACACTAACGGTCACTCTACTGTGAAAGTCCGTATGAGTCTCTTCACCCATCTCGTCCTTTGCTTTCAGTGCGCACATGGGTTCGTCATTTGGCTTTCGCCAGGGACACCATGTCTTGTCATCAACTGGTGCCGGATAGACAGTGTCATGGAGCACCATAGACAATGTATCGCATCCACCCTTACTGCACCTTGCGATGCCCACGGGTGTGTCCCACACCATCCATGGCCAGAGTGCTTTCGGGATTTTCACCAGGCTCACCGTATCATCCCATTCACTTCGAAAGATCACTAACATGTAGTCTTCGTTGACATACCAGCGATCAATGAATCGACCATATTGGAAACCATACTGTTTCCAGATCCGATAATCCGAAGGAAAGTGTCCTAGTGTAAACATACCAAATGAGTGCACTCGAGTGCATGCCATGGCACCGATCCGCACTCCCTTTGCACTGTGGCAGAGGGAGTGACAGGCAAACCCCACGAAGGTTCGAGCCGAATTGCCTACAAACAAACATAACAAACCAAACGAACAAACATGGAACACATGATACATTCACCCAAAACGGAGTCTCCGCCCCCCGAGTGGCGCTGTGGCGAAGCCATCAGAACGGCCAGTTCGCAAACGAGGCGATGAGTTCACTCAGACGCCTCGGCAGTTGGACCCCCGGAAGTTGCTTGAGAGAGCCATGGAGCAGTCACTGATTGTTGCCACATCCGATGGAGGCGTTTGGAATTCGATCAATGTAGATGTTTTGGTTCAAGATCGGTTGAATGCCTTTTCTGTTATTTTCATGAATTGCTAGATCAATGTTTCACTATGCTTCCTCAGGCTGGGCCACCAATGCAAGTGGCTGTGCCTCAAAGACGTGCTATAGTCCAGCCCATCCTCATGCATCAGCATCAGCCACCTGAAGTGCGTATTGAAGTCGAAGGACAGAGTGTGATGCCTGCAATGTCTGGTCCTCCTGGTTTCTTGATGCCCGGAGTGCCTCAGGTCTTTCAGGCAGACCAAGACGCAGTTGAAATTCACATCTCTCAACCTCCAGTCGTAGCTCCTTCACAGCCTCCCCAACCACCAATGCCACCCCTGTCGCACACCACTGCGTTTGTTTGCTCAAACTGTGGCCGCAGATACCCCTGGCCGGGGCCACCACGCTGCAACTGTCACGGGCCATCTCCTGAGCCAGATCCACGAGATGTCGAGCCAGCTCCTGAGTCGAATGACCAGTTGTGGCAGGCTGCCCGTGATGCAAACAGGCAACTAGTGGAGCAGTTGTTGAGCCAACCGGGCTTTGATGTTAACTACGCAAGGGTGTTCGACAACGCGACCTTGCCTCACGAAGTGACAGTTCTGGGTGCCGCAATGTTGGGTGAGAATATGGGGGTCGTGAAGTTGCTCCTTAAGAGCAAGGCCCAGCTGCAGCAAGTTGATGTGGAGATTCTGTCCATGCTGCTGTGTCGGCAAATCAAGGACCAACCGGCAAAGGATGCTGACGACACAAGGGGGACTAACAACCAACGTGACTGTCACAAACTCAAGCAGTTGTGGTGGGCTGCCTATGATGGATTTGCCAGTACGGTGGACAATTTGTTGAAAGATGAAATTGTCTATTCTTGGTACAAGCGGTTCGGCGATACGACCTTTCCTCACGAAGTGACAGTTCTGGGTGCCGCAATGTTGGGGGAGCATGCGAGGGTTGTGAAGTTACTCCTTAAGAGCAAGGCACAGCTGCAGCAAGTTGATGTGGAGATTCTTTCCCGGCTGCTGTGTAGGCCAGACAAGGAAGCCACGGAGATTGTGAAGGCACTCCTGGTGGAGACGGAGGGGGGCGAAGGTTTGGGCAAGCTGCGCAACAGAATTGGTTGTGTTCTGGCCCCATTGGATGGCCTGGATGTGACGCCAAAATCTGAGCAGTGGTGGACAGGACCAGCGATGCAATATTACAATGACCTGGAACATCAGAGTATGTTTTATCCTACCTTTGCCCAAGTGAAGCACTGCATTCTACCACTACCACCTCGACTTGCATATGACCCAAAAATACTTGCGGCTTTGGTTTCAACTGACAATCTCGAGATGCTTGACTTAGATGTTGTGAATGCGATCATCTCGGTTGCGTGGGTTCAACACATTAGGAGCAGTGTCATCGACAATCTCGTAAACGTTGTGAATGTGGTCTTACTGTGTTGGTTGTCCTACAACTACAGTAGCAATCCCAGCTCATCAGATCTCACCCTTGCATGGATCCTGGCGATCCTGCACTTGAAGGAGACTTGTGAATGTTTGGCTTCTGTGTGGCACATTATGGTCGAAAGATCTACAAAAGGTACTTTCCTGATAGAACAGATTGATATTTACAACTGTGTTGACAATGTCTACACGGTAATTGGAACGATCGTACTTGGACAGCAGCTGGCATGGTGGCACATTGATGAAGCTTCGAACAAGGCCCTCCTGGCCCTTTTCTGTGGCATGGCGTGGCTCAGATTACTCGCCAGCCTTCGAGGATACACATGGCTTGGGCTCAGGTTCCTGCCCATCATTGGTGCCATCTTGGATTCAGCATCCTTTTTCTTCATCACCGGCACATGTCTTTTGGCCTCCGCACATGCTTACTACCAAATGGGTCCTCGAAAAGAGGATCCGTTGCCGCTTTTCTCTGCGTTTGTCATCCCATTTCGACTTGGAATCCTGGGTGATTTCGACCTCTTCGAATTTGAAGGAAAGGACACAAAGTACGTTGAAGGAAATGACACAGAAACAGATGAAGTATCATGGGTACCAAAAGATCCTGAGCCAGGTGATGACCACCTCTTCATCATGGTGATTTTCTTCGTGACAAGCATTGGCATTTCATTTGTGCTTATGAACATCTTTATTGCTGTGCTAACGCAAAACTTGCAACTATTCCAGAATAGGGATCGGCTGTTGTTGACCAAGTCAAGGGCCAAGATGGTGCTAGAATGGCAGAAACGTCCATTGACACGCTTACTACATTGTATCTTAGGTCGCTGCTGCCAGCTGCGTTGCAAGTACAAGCTGAAGGACACCATCTCAACTTCAGGACCAACCTGGACATCCGACGTGCCTGCAATGGCCCTCTTTTGGAGCCTGTCTCCGCTGCGTGTTGTTTTCGGCAATTATGGTCATACGTGGATTTGGCATCAATGCACAAATCACCGGATCACAGTGCTCCTTTTCTATTTGTCTCCTTGGTTGCTTTCGGTCTCATTGGTCATGATGATCCTTTGTTTGACTTGCGGTTTCTTTTTTCGACTATCTGGCATTCAACATGAGATGCGAGTCCTATTTTTGGGCATTTGCGGTTGGAAGACGGATTCCGATGAAACAGATCCGCCAGAACAAGTCACCGCATATCGAGCTAAGCAATGTGTCATCCACGTTTTTGTCAATGAAAACGAGGAGCACCGCAGCCAGGGTGCACATTTCTGGCAGCACTTGGAAAGACAAACCCATGCAAGCATGGAAAAGGCGATGGAGCGTGATTGTCAGCAGTGGAAGGCCAAAGCCAAGGAAGAAGCCAAGGAAGAAGTCAAGGAAGAGCTTCAAAAGAAAGAATTGTTGATTGACGCTCACAAAGAAGAGATTGAAAAGTTAAAAGAGCGGTTGTGGAGAGGGGTTCAAAGATATGCTCACCAGCTGCCAGAGGCTGAACGAATCTCTGCTCGACTGCGGAGCGATCGACGGGTTCAAAGCCAGGGAGAACGACGCTCCGCTCGACTGCGGAGCGATCGACGCACCAACAGCCAGCCTCCTCCATGCATGGCATGGGAGCTTCTTCAGAAAGACAAAGATCACAAGGAAAAGCTTGATGAGAGAGGTCTGGCGCACGAAGCAGAGCTTCGTCAGACGGAAGCTCACAAAGGAGAGCATGATGAGAAAAAAGAAGAAGACGAAGAAGACGACGAAGAAGAAGACGAAGAAGAAGAAGACGAAGAAGAAGAAGCTCACACGCACGAAAAAGAGACTGAGGAGCCAGCGGCGAGGAGAGGCCAAAGCCAGCCTCCTCCATACCTTGGATGAATGATGACGTCTCGGACGATCCAAGGAGCATGGAGTCTTCAAAAAGATCAGCGGACAGGGCGAGAAGTCAGCTGCAGCTTCCTTCCTGCATGGCAGAGGCCTAATATGTTAGGTATGTGTTTTATCTTTGCAATTAAAGTGAGGTTGCACCACGTCCAAGGGGGTTTTACACAGGCACCAATCCTTCGGCAGGCAGATGCAGGTGAGTGTGGAGAATGAATGATTTAAAAGGAGAGGCTAGGTGCATTGTGAAAAGGACTCTTTTGCTGCATGTTATTTGTGCCGTTGACACCAATTATAATCACATGAGTTGGGGCTTTGACCGTCTTAATCTCCAGAGAGTGAAGGACCCCTGATCCACGTCCCAGGCAGCTTCGGGCCGCCGGGCAGCAGATTCGAGCTCAAGGCTCGTCAGCATTGGGGCGTCCGCTGGTCATGTTTGTGATCATGCTTTGGTCTGATTGATCTTCTATTTGGAAGTGAACCTATTGTGCTTCGATGATGCAGAAAATGATGCCTAGTAGTTGTTAGACTCTAAAAGTCCAGTGAGGCATGAAGTCTGACACGCACTTGGTATACAATCGCCTGGGATTTTTCCTTAATTGTAGCCGTAGACCTGAACACCGCTTAATGCGTTTTGCGACCACATCACGCCCCCAGGCAGCTGCAGACGGCTGATGATTGGAGTGCACGGGCCACGTGCACGTGTACACTGACTCAATGCCGTGTGGATGATTTGGTTGCCATGTGGGCCTAGTTTTCTATAGAAGATCAATGAATATGATATATAATATATATAATATAAAATGTATGTTTGAGGTTGGTAGTGGCAACCCTCAAGCAAATCCCGCACGAAGTGAACTTGCTCAAATGGATCTCTCTGAAAGAGCTGCGGTGCGTCCTTTTCACACCATCGTGGCCATAGCTCGATGTGCACAGTGCAACCCATCTTGGATGGACATCAAACAACAGGACAAGGGGCGGTTTGGCCCAAGGAGCAGCGGTATGTGCTCAAGGTGACCTGGCAAGCTCGTTCGACGGCGTCGAATTCACACCGGTGGAAAGTCCACCTTGAGAACTCTCCGCTGCGTTGTGGGCAGCATATGCAGTCTCTGCTGCATTCAAAGCGGCTTCCGCGGCTTCTAGCGCTGCCGTCTCCACTCCAAGCCAATTTTCGCCCAGGGTGTGGGCGCACTCTTTACATGGCCTCAGGGTGTAGGTCACGTTGGCAGTCCTCTGGCTGGCACATTGGAAGGAAGCGTGCCAGCATGCACCATGGTTCGTGTGGTGCACGTCCGCCAGGATCGCGGCTCTCACTCTATTGCGAGCTCGGATCTTGACCTCCTGCTCGTACATGACCCTCATCTTTTCGAAGTGCCGATCGTGGAGTTCACGATGGGCTTTCATTTCTTCTTTGTGTCGGGCCTGTAGGGTGCTCATGACTTGCTCTGCTTGTTGGAGCTTGGCTTGAAGGCTCTCCACCGTCTTTTCCAGCTGTTGTTCCTTCTTTCTGTGGCAGACCAGGGTGGTCAGGTCGCTGTAGCTGGTTTGACTCGTCACGTCCTTGAGGTGACGTGTTTTCACCTGCCGGTTGGTGAGGTAGCCAGCAGGGCTACCATGACGGTGAAGACAGCGAGGAAGGTGAAGTTCTGGTAGTCCATGTTGTCTGTCCGGTGGTTCTGTAGGGTTTGTGGAGTGCGCAGTTGTCGTGGTTGCTAGAGAGGCTAGTAGTGCTAGCTGTGCCGTTGGCTTTGTCACTGCATAGCGCATTTGGCTGCTCTTGCGCTGTTCAACTGTTTTCTTCTTTGCTGCAGTGAAGTTCGGGTCTGGTCGTAGGCATGTTATGTGGCTGCGTAGTCGTTGTGCTAAGAGTGCTGCAGCGCTGTGTTTTGTCATGCCGTCGGCGAATTTAAGTTCGCTCGTTACCCAGGCTATCGATGCTCCTGTGCAGGACAGTTTGTCCTTGGTCACTAAGGCCTCGATGCTTGTCTGTTTGTCGGTTTGTGATCCTGTCTGTATAGGTCTTGCTCGACCAGCAGGTCATAAAGAGCTTTTGCATCGATCACCATCTTTGGTGGGTGCTGGAGCTTTGCCATGTTGCTGTCTTGTAGTGCTAGGTATGGTGACCAGATTAGCTTCCAAAAGGCTGCTGCATAGAGGAGTGAGTCGGCTGTCTCCGATGCAGCTTGGCTTTCCGCTGCGAGGCTTGACCTTGCTACCCGTGGCAGTTTCCATGACCGCCAGTCGATCAAGTGGTAGCTGCCTTCAGCTCCATTGGTCACATCTTTGTGAACCATGAGGATCAATTGTCCTCCTTGAGAGGTCAGGTCGCTTCTGGAAGCGAAGGCGGCATCGCTGTACCCAATTTGGGTCAGCTCTGAGGTTGGTCCAAGCTTTTGGTACTTGAGTCCCACGTCGGAGTAGCTCTTGGCGTACCTGAGGCATTTGTTTGCTTCTCGTAGTGTGGCCAGGGTGGCCTTGCTCACTTGGCCTGCCAGTTGGCTGACCATTGCCTGCAAGTGTGGGCTACTTTGTGTGGCTGGCCATTGTAAGGCTCCTATGGTGCCTCTGAGCATGGTCTTCTGTTTGTCGGTGACTGGTTGGGTGTCCGGGCCATCTTCAAAGCTGATGGGTTTCAGCTTGGAGAAGTACTTGCTGTGGTGAAGCTCATGGTGGTGTTCATTGATCCTGTGGATTGTGGCTCCACAGTAGTCCATGTCGGTGTCTTGTTCCCATGTCCTGAAGTTGAAGGTCTGCTTCAGGGACTTGAGGAATGCTTGGAAGTTCTTGTTGTGCATATTGCCACATCCTAGGATGTCATCCACATGTAGGCCGAATAGGCCAATCAGTCAGTGGTGGGTGCTTCACGTTGTTGCCGTTGTCGTCGGCTTGTGTGGTCCAGGTGTCTTCGGGTGCATCGTAGTCGTATGCCATGAAGAGGCATGGGTCCAATGGGTGGACAATGGCGCCAAGCTTGGTGATTCTTTCTCTTGCTTCACTGTACCAAGCTCTTGGGGCGTCACATAGACCGTACATAGGCTTCTTCAGTCTCATCAAGGCCTTGTCGCCATCTTTGTCATTGATTCCCAGCAGGCGTCGTGCGTCTGGTGGAAGTTTGATCCACAAAGTGCGGTGGCTGGGATGTTCTTTTCCTTGTAGGAAGGCTGTGCTAACATCAGCGCTGAAGTTTGACCATCCTGTGTTTGCACAAATGGACAGGATGTAGTTTCTTCCGATGCGGCTCAATGTTGGTGAGTCAGTGCTTAGCTGTCCGCTGAGGGCATCTGGGTCTTTAAACCCTTGTGTGATCAATCGTGCCTTTGCACGTGGCTCTCCATTTGGCCATTTCGTCCACTTCAAGATGAAGTGTGCCTTCAGAATGCGGTCTTGTGGGGTGGATCCGTCATCCAAACATCATTTTGGAAGAAGCTTTCGAGCTCCTTCTTCTTGGCCTCCATGAACGCGAGCCTGTCGGCTACATTCATCTGGCGTTCATTGAGTTGGTCCTTTCTTGTTTTGCCTGTGGCAGCTGCTGTGTAGCTGTGTTCTGCCTGTTCTGTTGGTGGCTCGATGTAGGTCTGATGACCTTGGCTTGCATTGTAGAATGCTTCCTTGGCCAAGAGGCGGAATGCTGGCAGGACCTTGAAGACAGTGCGTCCGGTCCAGCTGTATGTTGTGTCTTCATCTTTCTTTTGTTTCCAACGGTCGTACTTGTTGATGTTTCCTGTGCCCAATGTTTGTCTGTCCTTGCTGAGGTAGTGGGTCGGCAGTGGACAGTTCGCTCCTTTGCTGGTTGGGTCAAACAGCTTGTTCCTTGGGATGTAGTGTCGTCTGACCAGTTTGTCTCCATAGAGTGTCCATTCGTCTCGGCACTCATCCAGGGTCAAGTACCCGTTTTCCAGTTTCCAGCCTGGAGGCAAAGTCATGTTGTCAGCCTTGGTCAGGTCTGCGTCATAGGTGCTCATGGTGAGGGCTTCTTCTGGGTCTGGTGCCTTGGGCTTGCTGTATGGTGATGTTCTCAAAGTCTCGAATGGCTCTTTGTTGGGGCCATATCTCACCCTGTTGTCGGTGGGTGTGTAGAATGACAGGGTTTCTTGCTTGTCATAGCGGCTCCTTCGTTCTTGGAAGGATTCCTGTCGTTCTGGTGTGTTGTACATGCTTGCTGGTGTTCTGGGATTGTCACTTGTTCGTCGTATGTTGCATCTCCCAGGATACTAGGTGGTGGCTCTGGTTCTCCTGTACTGCTTGGTGGTGGTCCTGTGTATTCAGTTGGTGCAGCTGCTGGTGGATCACCTGGTGGCATAGCCGGTGACATGATGCCAGTGGTTGTGCTTCCAGGGGTAGGCTCAGGGCTGTTGCCATGTCCTTCTGTTCCTGCTGTCGGCGGTAGTGGCGCCGTTGGTTGTTGTTCCATTTGTACATCATCATCGCCTGGTGGTGCTCGGCGATCGGTGCGCAGGATGAATGTGGTTGTTCCGGTCCATGAGTGGAGGCGTCAGGGAGTCGCCAATCATCTTGGAGCACGGTGCGATTCCTTTGTGGTTGGCCTGGTCTGAGGATGGTTGTCCTTCTCAGATCTTGGAAGTGCTCATGTGGTGCTTGACTGTCACGTGATGGTACATATAGTGCTTGTCTTGGGACGACGGTGCCATGTGATGCCATCTCCTTCCACGTCCCAATGGTCTTGTGGTTGTTCAGGTGCAGTTGCTGTGGTGGTCTTTGGTGGTGCCGGTGTCATTTCTGTGTCATCTTCATCTTCTGTGACCACTTCAGATCGCTTGCGCTTGTTTGTCTTTTGCAGATCTGTGTGCAGAGTGGTGCTTCTGCCTCGGATCTGGTCGAGAGCATTCTTTGCTCGGATGATGGGGTCGGTGTCATCTTGGTGGTTGAGATCAGGGCGTAGGTGCTCGCCACTGACTCGAAGCAGTGTTGTGCCGTGTGTGACCCAGTATGTGTTTGTTGCAGGACCTGTTCGTCCTTCTTCTGTCATCACCATGTTGCTGGTCCCTTCCAGCGTAGTTTTGGTCCAGCTCCTCCTGGTGCATCTCGCCAGTAGAACACACGTTGGCCAGTGTGGTACACATATTGGATGGCCTGGTGTTGTCGTAGGAGGGCTCTCCTGAGTCGGGCATCGTTGTCTGCCTCAATGACTGCTATTGCTGCTTGCTTCTGCATGGTCAGCTTTGTTTGCATAGCCTCACTTCAGGTGAGTTGGGTTGGAGTGAGATCATGGTCCATCAACACTCCTGGAATCCTGGGCTGTGTGCCCATAGCCCATTGGGTGGCGCTGAAGCCTTGCACATTTGGAGTATTGTTGATCTGCGGTACCACGTAGTTCAGGGCTTGGATGATGCGCTCTCTGTGTGGCATGTTCGGGTCATGATCTGGCTGTTGGCGGCGGTGTGCAAGGAACATTTCGATACCCCTTCGGAGTACCTGGTGCCGTCGTTCCACAATGCTCAGCCGGGTGTGTGCCTGGCCGGGTGAGATTTCCAGCTCGGTGCCATGATCGCTTGCCCAAGTCCTGAGCTGTTCGGATGCCCATCCCCGGTGGTCATCTACCTGTAGGATGGTTGGTGGTCCGAAGTGTCGAGTCCAGCCTCGTTCGATGGCTCGTACGAACTCATCGGATTGTTCTCCTTGGAGGACTCCTGCCGACATGAACTTGGTGGTTGTGTCCACGATGCTGAGGACTGGAATTGCCTGTGGCTTCTGCTTGCGGTGAAAGTGGCCTGACGGGTTGATCCAGACTGTGTCTGCCTGGATGCGGCTGTTGAAGCTGCCACCGGTTCTCAAGGTGCTTTTGGATGTTTGTGGAGGTGACCTGTGTGCATCACAGAGCTGACAAGTGTGTTCTTGTGCTGCATGAAGTATTGATGCACTTGCTTGCTTCTGTTTGAGAATGCACAGTTCAAGATTTATGGATGGCCGAGGTTCCTGTGGAGTCTCTGGACAGTTCGCTTGGCTGCTGCGAGCTGTGTTTCTTGTAGTCGTGTCAGGATGCCACTGTTGTTGCCCAGTTCCTCGATGTCATACTCGTCCTCTGCTGTTGCATGCTGTGGCTGTTGCTCTGCAGCTCTGCAGCGGCGGCTGTTGTTTGTGGCTGCAGCTGTTGCTCTGCTTCTGCTGGATATGCCTGTTCATCTGCATCGTATGGCCAGTAGTTGTGATGCATGAAGTCGTACAAAATGCTGGCCCATTCTCGGCACATGTTGACGTTGTAGCTGCCGGCTGCTGCTGCACGGTTTCCAATCATAGGTGAGCTTCATTCGATGGGAAGGTGGTAGCGCTCGTCAGTGCAGACTCGATGCAGTTGTGTTGCTAGCTGTTCATGAGTGACTCTGAGTGTTGTTGGCTTTCGGATGAACTGCTCGTCACCGTTGTTGTCTGGCAGTGTTGCTCCGTATTGGCACTGGTCGACGTGAGCGTCGTAGCCTTCTAGCTGTTGTAGTGTTGGTGTTTCCCAAGAGGTAGCGTACTTGGGGTGTTCGAAGATTGAAATTTGATCTTGCTTGTATTGCTTGTTGTGTATTGTCTTGCTGAACCTCAGGTGGGTTCCTTCTTCATGCTGCTGTTGTGCTTCGAGGCGCTGTTGCGCTGCAGGCGTTCTGGCGTTCAATCGTTGGAGTGGTGACCACTTGGTGCAGGGTGGTGCTAGCCATGTGATTTCTGGGCTGCAGTGGTAGTACAGCTGGATGAACTCGCGCTGGTGCGCTGGCTTGGTGAAGTCCCAGCCGCTGAGAAGGTCGAAGGTTCTGACCTTGAAGCCGAGTTCTCGCATCTTGGTCGCCAAAATGGCGTCTCCAGCATAGATCTCCCAGAATTGCATTTCGTGTTTGGCGTGTGATGCCAAAGCTTGTTCAATGGTCATCTTGTGGCGTAATGCCATGTGTTGTTGGTGAACTCTGAAGCTCCTGACCAGCTTGTCGGCCAGGGTGCGTCGGTAGCAAGTGTTGGTGTCATCATCATCATCCTCTGGGTCAGAGGTCTCGTTGCTGTCTGTGTCGTTCTGCTGGTTCTCCTGTGTGTTCATGGCTTGTTCCTCCTCCAAGTTTGGGGGAGGGAGACCAGTGAGCTCCAAGTAGTGCTCGAGTGTGTAGGTCTCTGTTGCTGTCGTGCTGGCCTGTTGTGTCATCACATGGAAGGTCTCTTCCATCATGAAGTCAAACTCGTAGGAGCCGTTCTCGGGGATTGACTCCAATTCTTCATCAAGCTGGAGGAGATGTTCTCCACGAGGGCCCATCACAATCTTCTTCCATGGGGAGCCGTCAACGCTCATGGTGTCCTCAATGAAGTTCAACTGAATCTTCATGGCCTTCAAGATCGGTCGGCCAATGAGCAGCGGCGTTGAGCCGGACACCACAAAAGCTTCTGCACGGCCAAGGCGGCCTTGCACGCACACGGGCATGTGCACAGTCCATTGTGCTTCCACGGTGCGATCACCTCCGAATTGCATTGCCTTGGTGGCAGGTCGGAACTTGAAGCAAGAGACGTCGATCTCCTTGTGGAAGTGCTCGATGTAGTTCATCAAAGTGTCGTGGCCCAAAACCATGCAGCTGGCTCGACCATCCATAGTTCCAAAAATTCCCTTGGGGAGTGCTTGGAAGTCCTTCATTTCGAAGTTGACCATGAGTCCTTGTTCAGGCTTGCTCTTCTTGGCAGCTGATGAGGTAGGACTGGATGTGGGGCTGCGCTTCTGAGTGCATTGAGCTGCAAAATGGCCTGGCTGGCCACAACGTAGGCATGTCTTGGTAGCCGAAGAGCTCGACAATGCTGCTTTTCCGCGGCTTTTGGCATCTCCCTCCTGATGTGTGGAGGTGCAATGAGCTTTGCCTTTTCCACCCTTGTGACCTTTCCCTTTTCCACGAGGTGGTACAGGTTGTTGCGAAGACGATGGGGTCGATGAGGTGCCTTGGTCAGCCAAAGCGACGACCGGGTAGAAGCCTCTGTTGTTTCGAAGCTCAGCGAACCGTCTTCGTGCGTCCAGGTAGGTCGCATAGCATTCTTCCCATTCAGGGTCATCATAGTCAGGGTAGCAGCTCATCATCTTCAGGGTCGTAGGTGTCTTCACCCTCATAGTAGACATTCTCATCGTCCGGGCTCTGTTCAAAGCCGAAGGGATCTTCTTCAGCCTCATAGGCCTCGTCATCATGGTTGTCCTCATCGTAGGTGGTGTAGGCCTGAGAGGTCTTTTGCCAGTTGTTGTTCTTGCCCAGTGCTGGTGGTTGTTGTATCGAAGCTGTGGTCCGACACGTCCTCTGTAGTCCTGGCCGAAGAGGTAGTACATGGCCTCCTCAACCTTGCTCTCCTCGAGGGTCGCTCCACACTGGCTTTGCACAAGTTGTTTCTGTTCTTGGGTCAAGCCACTGCGGCGAAGCATCAACCATCCGGTGACCTCGGATGGCAACTTGATGTTGTGTTTTCCACTTCACGAAGGGCCTCTCTGTGTTCCGCGCAGTACGACATGAGAGTTTGGTCGCTCCGGCGGCTCATGCTGTAGAAGAACCTCTCGAAGCTGCGTGGTTGTTCGACGCGGCTGTCGTAGCGGAAGGTCTTGTCCATGACTTCCATGATCATGTTGAAGCCGTCTTTGTCCTCACTCGCCTTCTCGGCGATGGGTTCCACCTGTTTCCATGCTGTCCCGCTCAAGGTGGTGAGCAGGTTGATCACACCTTCTTGCGGTTTCTTCTGCAGGATCATCTTTTTCTGGTACAAGTGGATTCTGGCTCTCCACTCCTTGTAGTCGGTGGGTCGGTTGCTGAAGACCGGGACCCATGAGTCCTTGGAGGCGTCCACGCCTTGCGAACTTGCCATAGCGCTCGTCAATCTCGAAGCAGCAAATCAGCAGTGGGCCCCGTCAGGGGCTCCGCTACCAATTTGAGGTTGGTAGTGGCAACCCTCAAGCAAATCCCGCAACTTGCTCAAATGGATCTCTCTGAAAGAGCTGCGGCGCGTCCTTTTCACACCATCGTGGCCATAGCTCGATGTGCACAGTGCAATGATGACCCATCTTGGATGGACATCAAACAACAGGACAAGGGGCGGTTTGGCCCAAGGAGCAGTGGTATGTGCTCAAGGTGACCTGGCAAGCTCGTTCGACGGCGTCGAATTCACAGTATGAGTTTGCTTAACGGGCCGGTATATAAAATGTGTGTGTGACACTTTATGGTTTTTCATTTGGTAGTTAGTAGTTGCATTCTGAACAGCTGAAGTCCGTGGCGCCCTTTAGCATCTTCAGTCATGTCTGACATCGTCGCCTTTGAAGACTGCGACCTGTGACCGAGTTGGCGACCCGACAGTAGAGATCATTGTAGAACTGGAGTTCAAGTTCATGCCCCTTCCATTGAAACTGTTTTGAAACAATTTTTCAACCGACCTGCTTGGGATTTGCTTCCGAGCGAGGTCGGGCTCTTGGAGAACGAGCATGGTCGAAACGATCCGGTTTCGGTTCGGTTTGGCGTTGCGTCAATTTTTATCGGTTGGATGCTTCGGTTCAATTTTTCATCGGCGCGGTTTCCATTCCATGCTATCGGTTCGACGTTCGGTTCAACACATTTACATTATTGAACGTAGTGTTTTCCCTTTTTTTCGGTTCGGTTCGGTTTGCAGCACCAGCAGCGCCAGCAGCAGCGGCGGCCACCTCACCAAGACCATTGCAGGGTTGACCTAGGAAAAATAGGACATAACAGCTTCCAGGTAGCGCGGGTGAATTATACTACGCTTAGGCCATGCTTATACCTTCCTCACATAGACTTCTCCTTCAAGGAACTCACGGCTCACTACCAGAGCTTTCGCGCTTTCCCCAGCAAAATGGTCTAAACCCACTAAAGAAGGCTAAGGGCGGAAACCATGTCCAGGTGATTTTTCACGCAACCCAAGACTGCGGATGCCAAGGGAGAATGTTGGCAAAGGCCGGGCTTATACCATGTTTAGGCGTCCAAGCTCATTAAAGGAGGCTAAGGGCGGAAACCATGTTCAGGCAATTTTTCACACAGGTTGCGATTTGAGTCGCAACCCAGGTTGTGATTTGAGTCGCAAATCAGGTTGCGAATTGAATCGCAACCCAAGACTGCGGATGCCAAGGAGAATGTTGGCAAAGGCCGGGTTTATACCATGTTTAGGCGTCTGCCCACTAAAGAAGGCTAAGGGCAGAACCCATTCAGGTATAATTCAGACTGGACCAACCCCTTCTCACCTCAAACCATAATTATTGAAGTGTGAAAAGGGCAGGGCCAAGGAATATACACGCACCCTTCTCACCCCAAACCATGAAAACGTGACTTGTTCAAGTGTGAAGAAGGCAGGGCCAAAGAATATATATATATATACGCACTCTAAACGCAGTATAAACTTGCCCATGCCCTGCGTTTGTGACTCTCCCTCTTTCGCTCCCTCTCTCTTTCCTCTTCTCTTTGTAAAGGAGTACTCTTCAGCAGAATTACTTAGCCCAAAAAACAATTAAAAAAATCCAGGTGTTCATGTTAACCATACATGTTGTAAAGGCGCAGGTTCCATGTAAGCAGAAAAAAGGCGCCCCCAAAGGGCTAACATAGCCCGCAAATCACATGTCACACGTGTCACTTAGTGCCTTTAAACCAGATTCCATGTTAGTGGAATGTGTGTTTGGCAGGTTCCATGTTAAGGTAGATTCAGAGCCCGGGAGGGCGGCCATCCTAAATTTTCATAAACCCTCACACAGACCCCACGCCTCCTGATAGTTTGTGATGTGTTGTGATGCGTATTGCACGCTCCAAGCTCCCTCGCTCCAAACTCCTGGTCCTCCACCTCAAAACCCGCGATTTCCACCTCCAAGCACTTGTGGTCCAAAGTTGGCTACGCTAGTATTTACACTGGGTGAACAAAAAAATCATTTACTAAACTGCCACCAGAAATGCTTTTTTGGCCTCGGAAAGGGATGTCCCCACACATGGCTTCCATCCTTCAAGATAAGCTACAATGAGGTAGAGTACTTCCCACAAATGTCACCCCGTGTTCTATGTTAACGGCTGTGTGTGATTCTGTCGGTACGGTAGTGATACAGTATTGGCTGCACTTCTTACAGTGCAGCACTCGTCGTCCAACGTTGGCTACCTAGTATTCACATTGGGTGAACCAAAACAGCCAAGCCAACACTTGAACATTTTGTATCAAATCTTTTACTAAACTGCCACCAGAAATTACTTTTTTGGCCTCTGAAAGGGGTCCACCACAAATGGCTTCTATCCTTCAAGATAAGCTACAACGAGGTAGAGTACTCCCCAGAAGTGTCACCCCGTGTTCTATGTTAACGGCTGTGTGCGATTCTGTCGGTACGGTAATGGTACAGTACTGGCTGCCCTTCTTGCGGTACAGCACTTGTGGTCCAAAGTTGGCTACCTAGTGTTTACACTGGG